GGCCAAACGAAGCTATCTTTCTAAAGCTTCTCCTTGCAGTCCCAATGGAAACAACCTTGTGTAGACTTGCTGGTCTTCTCTTCCTGAAAGCTACCCAGTTGATGGTACTTTGCCGGGGCATCATCAGGCTCAGAGCAATGTTGGATGCTCTTCCCGACAGCTTTAAACTCAAGAAGCTGTTTCCAGCCCTAGCTGTCCAGACATGATATAACCTGCTCCTAGTCCCTTTACTAGAGACATTGGGGACTTCTCCTCCATTGTTTTTGTCTCTAGGTTGCATCTGGAAAAGAGATCCTCCGTGTGCTCAGTCTCTTCCCAAACCCTAGGAAAATTCACCCACTGGTCCTTGTTCTCTGCTACAGCTGCCAGTGAAGGGAGAGGGAATACAGAGGGGGGTTTGGGCTGACAACATTATTCTACCCTGAAGCCACCCCATTCATGATTCATCACACCTTCTTTTTCTCGGTGTTCAGATTGGAAGGGGAGAAAAAAAAAACATGTTTTGCCAGCTCGAATCCCCTTCAAACATTTCTGTGTCGCACATGGATGGTGTATGCTGAAGTGACTCCACATGCCTCCATGTCCTTCTGAGATTCCTAACTATCTGCATGGAAAACGTGAAGGTATACAAGGACAACCACTGGGCTAGAAACATGATTGGTAGAGAAGTACCTCCTTTAATAAGCTGAATACTATCTTTTATGCAACAAGGACAGCAAGAGAGAAATTCAGTGGTCAACAATTTCTAATTTCACGCTAAGATTTTTGTCCACTCTCCTCTTTCCCTCTTTAACACTAATTGCAATATGTTCAAATAAACTCAGAATGAATAAAAAATATAGTCAAATAACATTGTAGCCAAGTTCTTTTATAATAGTAGAGTATGACTTGGGAAATTGCAGAGGGGAAAAAACTACAACAAAACAGTTTCCTCCAGGATACAAAGATATATATATATATATATATAGGCTTGTATACTGTATCACAGTTACAGTCAAAAAGACTTAAAAAGATATTGTTTTAGGAGATCAGCTACTTTTAGAAATGCAAACATCCCTAGTCTGCTTTGTTTCATTCTAGAATTTTTAAATTTTTCAAGGATTTCAGATTGTTCTGAAAATTCTAAGTTATTGAGTTAGTTGGAAATTTTTCAGAAAGGTTCAATGTCTTTAGAAATATGTGAAACCATTTCATCCTCTCTGGTATTTGAAAGGTACTAAGCCAGATTAGGGGAAAGCATCAGCCTCAATCAAAAGATGTCCGGTCTACTAGAAGCCTTTACTCTGGGCGGGTAGCCAGGATGCCCATGACTTGATACAGAGCACAGAGAGAGGGGTGCCCCATCACCTGGCCTGGAAACGTCATCTAGAGAGCTCTGCCAGTCTGCACCAGCCACTATTTGACCAAGGCACATGTGGTAGGGCTCTAAGAGTTTGTGTGATTTTATTTTCGTAAAACGATTATTTGTGTGTGTTTCTGTAACTTTTTCAAATAAAATTCATTTATTTCTGTTGAGGATACACACAACAGAACAAAGTCAACAAGTTCCACATGCACAAAGTCAATGGCGAAGAAACATGGCTTGATGCATTTGCTGCAACTTTTGCTTCAGTAAGGAATGCATCTTAATAAGTTACATAATTACTGTAACTGTTCTTATTCATGAAAATAAAAGTCTACTAAAAGATTTTCTCACGACTCTTACAACTGGCAAAGGGGAATACAATAAAGCAAGAGAAAACTTGATCACAGACAGGAATTCAACTGGATTACAAGTAACTGTCGATATCTTGACATTTTCATTCATTTTATGTTCCTTGAATCGTAAAT